CCCAGAAGTTTTGAGGAAGCTCTAGAAGGGTCAGCGATTTATCTTGATGTGGTTAGGAGGATGAAAGACCCCAGTGAGAGGCAATAAAGACTGGGAGGAAAGTCATGGCAGGATGAGGAGAAAGTATGTGGCAGTAAAATGCACCCACTGAGACCTGGGGAGGGACTCTGGCCAAAGCCCACAGATAATTCATCCATTCTTTCCACAACTATTTGTCAAGCAGTTACCATTATCCATAAACTGGGTCATGAGCAAAATCGGTCTCCTCCAATCCGTCAGTCTTGGTGGGGAGACTAATATGCAATGTGAAAAAAATAAGATATATAATGCCATCATTTCTTTTACCCTAAGGGTGTTCCAAGCACTCATTTTTCAAATGAGGAAGCTGAGATTTAAAGAACTTACCAATTTCCCAAACTCACAAGGCTACGAAACAATGGGTTCAAGAAGCTATGTCAGTCTCTTTCAAAGGCTGTGTCAGTCAGTGCCTTAAAAATCAGGACTCCTCTAGTAAAATACGTCAAAACCAAACCTCCCTGCCCTGTTAAAGCTCAAGGCTTCAGATTTACCTCACGGAGAACTCAAGGCTGGTATGGCAGGCACCCCAAGTGGGTTCCTCCATGCTAGCCTCTCCCCACTCTTCTCTAACCTCGGCATCTAGTTCACCCAAGTACCCAGCCTGGCCTTTGTGACCAGTGTGGCTCGACTCTGGAGATCACTTAGTGACCCTGTTTTCCAGTTGTTGGCTCAAGTACCCAAGTATTGCATCAGCTACACCGCACTGATAAAGAAAAGAGACAGGAGTCATGGAGCAGGCTGTAGGATGCAGGATGCCACTCAAGAACAAGATCCTGGTCTTTTAATTGACAGAGAAAAAGGTGGGTTAAACTGAATACTGGATTTAGGGCTTTAGGGAGGGTGAGTCTGCTGGTATACTCCCAACCCCCACCCATGGCTCCAAGTTTATTAACAAGGAGTTCCCCTGATGAGTCCCTGGGGCACTAAGCACAGCAGTCAACGCCCCTCCCACAGGGGTCATATCTTGTGATGTGCACCCATTCCCCTGGGGCCAACAAGTGTCCTGCTCTTGTCTAATCTTTTTTTTTAATTATTTTTTTTTTATATCATTGTTCATTTTTAAACAATATTTGCTTCCCCCCTGCAGGTGTAGTCCCCATAGAGTTTCCTTCCTCAATGCACCCGTGCACCATCACCTCAGTCCCCTGTGCTCCTCCCTCCCTCCCTCTGATCCCTCTCTCTTGTCTAACTTGAAAGGAGCCTGGTACACCCACACCCAAGCGCAGCTCTTCTCTGCTTTACTGCATGCCCTGCCCATCTAGCATCTTTCTGCCTCTGCTGTCTTTAATCCCTTCCTTAGATTTACTACCATGTTGCGGCCTATCAGCCACCTTAAAAAACAAACCCTGAACCCCCACTGTCTTACCCTTCCTCCAGTATACTTGCTCCCACATACCATAAGCCTAGACTTGCTCTGTGTATTTGGGCAGTGGCACCCCAAAAATCACCCAACAGGAGAGAGTGTTAAGAGAGGAGAAAGGTGCTGCTGTGAAAATTCTGTAAGGAAGCAGAGAGAGGTCCTACTTGAAGGCTACAGAGTCCTCTGGGAAACACGTGTTTTGCCGATGATGGTGTTTTGCCGACAGTGAGAAGGTTGAGGGTGTGGGCTCCAAGGATCGTGGACAGTGGAGATTGTTCAAAGCAGCTGCTTGAGAGAATGGGCAAACTGGAGGGAGAAATACCCTGTGGTCCAGATTTAAGGTGAGACCTATGCTGTGGCCACGGCTTTCCTCTGCTAAAAATCAGCTGCAGGGAAGTCTGAATTTATCTGGGGCTGGGGTTTGCCATGTGGTTCTGACAGATGAGAGTATGGGTGTTGAGGACATTGATACTGGCTAAAGTGGACTCCACACATATTATCAGTTCACCTTGCTCAAAACCTGTTTGCTTTGCTTACTTATTGTTTACAAAACATAAGCTTCCTGAGGGCAGGGCCTTGTTCTCCACTGCCATTCCATGTTCTCCATCAGCAACTTGAGCAAGTGAGTCCGATGAGGCAGCTGAAGAGGTCAGGGCTCTGGCACATGAGAAAGGTGTGAGAGCTGGTGAGAGGGTGGGTACAGGTAGATGTCTGAATGCACAGCTTCTAGGGGAGTCAGGTCTGGAGAGGACCTGCTCAGGACCTGGAGCTGAGGTGTTGTGGAGGTAGGGTGACCTGATTATCTTGGCTCGCCCAGGATTTTTTTTTATTGTAAACTTTTTTTAAAAAGATTTCTTTATTTATACATACAAGAGCTGGGGTACAGGCCAATGCTGCAGGGGTGAGAGGATTCGCCAGAGACAGAGTGGGGAACAGAACAGGTAGATCTACTGAAACACACTGCTGAGGGGGGCAGCAGGCAAGTCAGGAGAGGTCTGCTGCACCATGTGGGTAGCTCCCTGGCCAGCCCGGGATAGAACTTGTGCTGCAGAGACTGCGGATTGCTTCATAGTGTGGTGCTCAACCGCTTGCGCCACTAGGGAGGCCCTTGCCCAGGATTTTTGTGCTGAACATCTTACTGCTCAGTCCTGGGTCAGTTGGGCCAACTGGTCATTCTGAATATGAGAAATCTCAGAGAGCCTGAGGCTGATGGTGGTCTATGGAAGCTGCAGGACGGCCTACTTTCCTGGGCACCTGTCACATTTTGCCACACCCTGTATGTGCCCCCTGGCCATGTTTTCTCGTCAGTGAAATGGAATGTTTTCGTAGCCCTGAACTCTAGGAATAACAACTGTGCTATATATGGCAAACACTTCCAAGAGTGAGAACACTGAAGTGCAACTCCATCAGCATTTTCAAGTCTGCAAATTAAATGCATCGTGCTCAGTGCCTTCAAAAATTATGTCACCCACTGAATTCTTTCTATTGAAAACTTTTTTTTTTTTAAAGATTTTTTTTTTCTTTTTCTTTTTAATAGAGGCATGTTTTTCTTTATTTATTTGTTTGCTTGTTTGTTTGTTTTGTTTATACATGCACTGGGTACAGTCAGAAGCGCGGGAGGGTGAGAGAATTCACCAGAGCCAGAGCGGGGAGCAGAGCAGGCAGAAGGACCGAAGTACACTGCTGAGGGGAGCAGCGGGCGGCAGGAGAGGTCTGCACGCCATGTGGGACCCTCCTCCGGTGACCGGGGAGCAGCCGGGGATCGAACCGGTGCTGCAGAGGCTGCGGGCAGCTTCGCAACCCAGCGCTCAACCGCTGCACCACCGGGGAGGCCCACTTTTTTTTTTTTTTTTTTTTAAAGATTTTTTATTTATTTATACAAGCACTGGGTACAGTCAGAAGCGCGGGAGGGTGAGAAAATTCACCAGAGCCAGAGCGGGGAGCAGAGCAGGCAGAAGGGCCGAAGTACACTGCTGAGGGGAGCAGCGGGCGGCAGGAGAGGTCTGCGCGCCATGTGGGACCCTCCTCCGGTGACCGGGGAGCAGCCGGGGATCGAACCGGTGCTGCAGAGGCTGCGGGCAGCTTCGCAACCCAGCGCTCAACCGCTGCGCCACCAGGGAGGCCCTCTATTGAAAACTTAACTGCTCATTCATTGTAATAGTATCCATTTTCTTAGAACTCTAATAATGCCAATTTGTCATATTACATAAAAAGATTATATATAAATATCAGAATTTTATTTAACCGAGCATGGAAATCATATCAGGAATGAAATAGTCTTTGGTTACATAGACATATCTAGTTTTGAAAAGAGATTTTATACTTCATACATGCATGCTATACCACAGACATACCATAGCTTCATTACAGTTTGAATATAGTAATTGACTTGCTGTTACAGCAACCAAATAAGGATTAATAAATGAGTCTAGAGAAGTTTTATTCTTAGAACAGTATTTGATGGTTAAATTATTAAAAATGAAATACAGACTTTCTAGAAATACATGTTGACCAAAAAAAACAAATTTTTAATAATGAGTCAGTATATGCAAGGAGTATTGAAATAAATAACATCAGAATGACACTCTATGTCGACACCATGGATTGGTGTAATCACTGTAAATAGAAACATGGGGTTCAGGATAGAGCTTATTCACAGAAACAAGAAAAGAAGTCTTTCCCAGTTTATCTAGAGGAAGATTACTGGAAATAGAGTTCTTTTCTATGAACATCAGTAGAGAATCATTATGTACAGGCTTAGATACCTACATACGCCTACGTTTATATCAGAAACTTGAAAATCCTCCCCTTCCATGTGTCCCACTTGAAATCAATACAGCAGATTTGTTGAATTCTTGTACATTTGTATAGAATATTAAATTGAGGACATTTAGAAAACTTAAAGAACTCACATCTCTTCCACAAATGTAGGTACTAATGATTAACAAAAGAAAACAAATGTTGTTCTCCTAGGTTTTGGCACACACCTCAGTTATTTAATAGGCACCCAATAAGAGAGCAGCATAAATGCCTTATTTAAAAACTAAGCCTTAAATTTTGTTTATATTAAACTTTTTACTCTCAGATAATTATAGATGTGAGATAATTGTAGATTCACAAGCAGCTGTAAGATATAATACAAAGAGATCTTGTGTCCTTTTACCATTTCCACCAATGATAACATCTCATAAAAACTATATTATATCACTACCAGAATTCTGACATTGGCACAGTCAAGATATAGAAAATTTCCATTGCCACAAAGATCCCTGTGTTACACACACATTCCTCCCTGACATCTCCTGATCTGTTTTTTTTTTTTTTTTAAGATTTTATTTATTTATTTATACAAGCACTGGGTACAGTCAGAAGTGCAGGAGGGTGAGAGAATTCACCAGAGCCAGAGCAGGGAGCAGAACAGGCAGAAGGACCGAAGTACACTGCTGAGGGGAGCAGCGGGCGGCAGGAGAGGTCTGCGCGTCATTTGGGACCCTCGCCCAGCAGCCGGGGATAGAACTGGTGCTTCAGAGGCTGCGGGCAGCCTCGCAGCCCAGCGCTCAACTGCTGCGCCACCAGGGGAGGCCCTCCTGATCTGTTTTTTATTTTTAGAATTTTGCACTTCAAAATATTTTATAAATGTAATTATACAGTATATAACCTTTTGGGATTGGCTTTTTAATTCAGCATAAATTTCTGGAGTCATCCAAGTGGTTGCTTGCTTCAGAAATTAGTTCCTTTTATTGCTGAGTAGTATTCCATGCATAGATATATCACACTTTGCTTCATGAGTCATCCATTAAAAGACTTCTGATTGATGAGTTTTTGAATATTATATATAAAGCTGCTGTGAACATTCATGTACAAATTTTTGTGTGAACTTAAGTTTTCAATTCTTTGGGATAAATGCCCAGGATTGCAATTGCTAAGTGGTAAGTGACTACGTGATTAGTTTAATAAGAAATTGTTAAATAGTTTTCCAGAGTGGCTAGTCCATGTTATATTTCCATCAGCTATAAAGGACTTTTCCAGTTTCTTTGCATTCTTGATGTTACTATATTTTATCCATTTTAGTAGGTATGAAGCAATATTTTATAGTGGTTTTAATTGTATTTCCCTAGTGAACAATGATGTTAAATATCTTCTCATGTACTTATTTGCTGTTTGCAGATTCTCTTCAGTCAGTGAAAAATCTGCTCATGTTTTCCATTTTCAATGAATTTCTTTTAAACTATTGGGTTTTGTTTTCCAGTATATTTATTGAAAAGACTAGCCTTCTCCACCCCTACAAAAAAAGGAATTGAGCATGAGCTTTAGGTCTATATCTAGATTTTCTATTCTTTTCCATTGATCTATGTGTCTGTGTCTTCACCAGAACCACTCTGCATTGATTACTGTAGCCATATACATAGATAAAAATTTATATTGGATAAAGTGATTCCTCCTACTTTATTCCTCGTTTACAAGAGTGTCTAAGTTATTCCAAGGCCTGTGACTTAGAACTTTTAGAAGCTTGTATATGTCTACAAAAACATTCCTGGAATTTTGATAGAAATTGCATTAAACCTATTGATCAATTTGGGGGAAAATATGCATCTTTAGTGTAGCATTTTCCAATCCATAAACATGGTATATTTCTTCATTTATTTAAGTCTTTATTTCATTAGCATCTGTAATTTTCTATAAAGATTCTATGCATATTTTCTTAAATTTCTACGAGTATTTTTCTTTAGATTGATTACAAGTATTGTTTTAAATTTTGGTTTCCACATGTTCATTGCTATTATATAGAAATGCAATTAAATTCTGTGTGGTGATCTTGTATCCTGAGACAATGCTGCACTCACTCACTAGTTCTATCTGTTTTAAAAAATAGATTCTTTGGAATTTTCTATATAGACATCATGTCATTTGTAAGTAGACTTTAATTTCATTCTTTCTGATCATATTCCTTTTATTTTGGGGGCTTGTTACTGTGTTTAGAACTTCCATATACCCTTTAACATTTTTACACATGTAAATTTCTAGAAATTTGCTAAAACTTACTGGCCTGAATGGGCTTTATCAGACTCAAATTTAGGCATTTTCTTTACTCTGCTTATTAAACAACTTGTTAATATTTCATTTCCTGTAATTTGAATAAATACCTGATAATATTTATCAGTGCTAATAAATGAGACCCACACTGCCAAACCCCTCGAAGCAGCAGCATAACCTTTAATGAGCAAAGTGGAACCTGATTATAAAAGCGAAACCTAGATTAGGAGCGCTATCCATAAAACAGGATCAGGAGGCAGAGTTGTTTAAACATTAAGGTTTGAGGCTCATATATGGAGTACAACATTTGTTCTTCCATTTCTCCCTCTTACTTCCATATAGGGGGTAGCAACAGTTTTTAAATTCTGAAATATGAAATACCCTCAATATTACCTTATTCTTGTATATTAGAAATAGCCACTCTTAGGAACTCTTGAGAATTGGCTTTTGATAAATAAAAAACTCTGTGCACTCCTATGCTTTTATTTACAGGCCTTTAAAAATATATTTTAATAATTCAAACTCTCTTCATGCCTTAATTTTTTAAAAGGGTAGCCATTAGTAACACTTTTTTAAAATTTAAAAATGCACATTTCTTATATATAATGATTTTTTGATGTTTTACAATGTCACCTAACCCACCAAAGAGATTTTACAGCTAGTAAAGGACAGAAAATTGGGTGTTGCTAGATCCTTGATAGATTTCAACACAAGAGTTCTTGGATATGTATACGTAGGTCCTTATAGGTCTTAGATGTGTACATAGGTGCAATGTAGTTTCTTGCAAGCATAATGAGCTTCTGAATAATTTGTACAAAATTTAAAATATTTACTAAGAATCAAACTTCAGAGCTTTTTGGGAGCAGAAAGCAGTGGCAAATCATCAGGTTAATTATCACTTTACTGATCTTCCCAGTTCACTGACTACATATGAATATCAGTAACTCTTTGCCTTATTCTTAAAGCTGGAAATCTTCATGGAATCACTCCATTCATTGCATTTGATGAGTTCTGGATGTTGACTTAGTCTCTGTGATTCTCAGTTTTCTTGTCTGTCAGCAGCAAGGATGATACACCTCTCCGTGGTCATACATCTTAAATGAGATGATCTTGATAGCTAAGGGTCAAAGGCTGGGCAGGGATCTTGCTTTCCAGGATTGACTTTTCTTTCCTTCCTTCTTTTTTATTGCCTTTGCTCCTTTCTCTGGTTCACTTCTTTCCTCTCCTCTCTATGTCACAGAATAGGTGCTTCTTATTTTGGGTGCCACTCCAAATGCCTGAGAGAAGGAAGCCCTCTAACAGAGGTATCAGCCGTAGGGACTCTGGAGCTTGATGCTAAAGCTCCCCCTCTTGTAACTGTGCCTCTGTGGCCTGCTCACACAGATCAGAGCTGTGTACGTGGCTCCTCATGTCATAGTGGGAACAAGCATCATATGTAACCAATACATTCTAGCAAATGGGTTTTAATGCATTTGCAATCCAGTAGCGTGATGAGCAATTCATGCATAAATATCCTGAAGCCCTCAGCCTAAACACAAGATTGTGGCTGAGCGAGGCCTATTTAATTCTTTTGTGGTTTCAATGAACTTAGAACCAAGACACTGCTTTTGTCATAGCAAGTAACAAAGATTCTCTCACAATACAAAGCAATCACATTGTACATACAGGCATATTATTTTTTGTCTTAAAGAATGGAACATGTCCTTTTGACCACCAACAATGATTCCCAAGTGAGTGAGTATAGGCTGGAATACAGCATAAACAGACTATCTATGTGAAGTGCCTGTATGAATGGGAGAGTCGCAAAGGACCACTTTGATCTCTGGTCTAGCACAGGGTTCCCTGGCCACCCTCTCTCTTCTGCTGTAAGGATGACAGGGCTGCTCTGAGCCCTTCAATAAAGAGACAGCAGGCAATGGCTGTCTGGCATCATTCAAAGGTTTTCATTTTATTCAAACACTGAGGATTTTCTTCTTATTTCATCAGGCCTTTCTTGGAACTGCTTTGAAATATTCCTCCCTTGATATGTCGGATACTCCACCATACCATTTTTGAAGCCAGATATGTTCTATTCTCATCTTCATAAAGAACCATTCATACTGACGAGGCCACTTTCTGAGAATTGGGTGCCTGCAGAAATAAAGGACAAGTCACCATAGTGTTCTTAACACAGGGTGTTCTCTCCAGAGGTCAAGCCCAGGTCATATGATCCTGCAAACACCAGGTGTCAAAACAACCAGAGACAGATGCCAGGGAGCCAGCTATGGTGCCTGGGGCAGCCTGAGCAACGCAGGAAACTGTTGTCCCCATAAAGGGATGGACCACTCAGTTCTTGAGCCAATTTCCTTGGCTTGAATCCCAGTTGGCCAGCTGAGATGCTTCATGGGCCATTGCCTTCTCGAGCCTGGGCCCTTACCTGTCACGGGCATGACCGTGATGGTCTCAGGTCACAGGGTTTTGCGGGAGCAGAGAGTAAGTGACCAGTGAGTGCCGGTGATTGTCAGGAAACACAAAGGCTTTATGCGTTTCTGTGTAAAATATCCAAAGACTTGTGAACCCCCTATAAAAAGTCTGCTCGCGGGAAGATTTCCACTCTGGCAACAGGTTTATAACTGCTGGGCCAATAGAGAGCCATTCAGAGTGGGCAGGGAGTGCCACTCTGCCCTCTGCTATCTGCTGACTCACCTTGTCCCCCTGCCCTCCCCTCTTGCCTAGCCCTAAACACACGTATTATCCTTAAGGGCAGGGGCTGGGGCTCACCTTTCAAAAATTTCATAAAAATAAAAATTTTGTTTCTATAATTCAAAGGCCAAGTGCAAACTGGGAAAAACATTTGCCCAAACAAATGCAGTCATAGATGATGATCTTTTTTTAAAAAATATTTTGAAATAATCTTAAACTTACAAAGAAGTTGACAGTACAGTATTAAGAACATTTTTTCCCCTAAACTATTTGGAAGCCAGTTGTTGATATGATGTCCCAACTTCCCAAATACACAGGCAACTAAGATAATAAGATGATTGCTGTTATTTTAAACTAGTTTTGTATTTGCAGCCAGAACAAATTTTGGTATCTGCAAGTGGGGAGCAGGTGTAACAAATCCTAATCCAGGGTGTATTGGCTTTGGGTCCAGACAGTGAGTGAAAATGAGAAGGACCTCAGGGGCAAAGATAACGCCAACTTGAAAGAAAGTAAAGATAAGGCTACTGCAGGTGGGCGGTGAAGGGCATTTAGTGGTGGAAAATTGGGCCACACTGCTGCCTGCAGTAAAGTAGAAAATAGGAAATAAAATGAATAAACCCAAGGCAGCCTCCTCTCCCTGCCTCACATAACATGTCAGAGGAGCGATTGGAACTAATGACTGAGAGTTGTATTTGAAAATCAAGTGTGCGCACGTGCACACACACACACACATCCAGATGTACACACATCTATTTCTCTCTGTATTGAAAACCATGATTTTGTGTAATGCATTCAATCCCAATCCAATTGCAGAGTTAGTCTAGTTTTTTCTCTTTGTATGACCCTTTCCCATGGCAGTGAGAAGCCAGGCTTTTCCTCTCCTTGCTACAGCTACTTATCTGATGATTCCCCCTATTTGTAAAATCACCCCAGCTCCCTGGAGTTGTAGGTGGCTAATCCAACTTACTGCCTGCTTTCATGTTTCTTCTGCTAAAGTAGACGAGTGTTACCTGCCTGGCTTCGTTGCCTATACCCCTGCGTGGTTACCCTCCACTTGGGAGCACTCCATGTGGATGCACTTCTCGCCTCTGGGGACAGGCTCTATGTGCCTAAAAGACCACCTGTGGACAGCTGCCTGCCTTGCACAAGCTCTGACATACACTGGGCCAGCCTCTTGTTCATTTTGACCCCCTACAGCAGGGGTCTGAAGCTTTAGTGTGCATACCTATGGCCTGGGACATGCTCATTAAAATTAGATGATTGAGTTTTATCTCCAAGGAATCCCCAGGTCAGTATGGACCCAGCAAGCTGCATCTGGAAGCATCCCAAGTGGCTCAGATGAAGGGGTGACAGGCCTACCCTGAGAAACACTGCTCTTTCACATCTAACACTGGGCTTCACTTAGAGCAGATTTTTGAAAAGGTTTACAGTGTTGACTTGACTACAAAGCCTCCGTTACTTCTATTTCAAGTCAGGGCATAGTAAAAGGTTGGCAGTGTGTGGAAATTGTGCCAGAACCCTTCCAGGTGGGGTGCTCCTGAAGTCAGTTTCAGCCACAGCAGGGCTGTCTGCCTGAGTCAACCAAGGCTGTTGTTGTGGGCAGGCAGTGTAGCTCTGGAAGGCAGCTCAGGCCATTGCTGTTGTGGCCTCAGGGCATCAGTGGACCCAGCCCTGGCTTCTGCTCTTTATTATTATATATTCTGAGCAAGCCAACTTTAAAACTTATACAAACCTTGAAAATAAGGCTTGCTTGGCAAATTCTATTTCCTCTGGGGACACTATGATCATCTGGCCAGTGATGGTTAGCCGGGCACATCGAGGATCTTCCGGGTCGACAATATTTTTCCTGTATGGGAGGAACATTTTTCATATATTAAGATGATGACAGAACATCAACCTGAAATACCAAGAATTTTATTAAAAATTGAACATAGTGGTCACATTGCTGGTTATATCATCTAGGCTTTTATACTGTCTGTAGTTTCCTTTGGACCAGGCAGGGTGAGAGGCATGTTTGTGTAGTCAGCCTGCATGCTTGGGGCAGTACCCTAGTCAACTGGACACCTTGGAGACCGCTTCTCAAAACCCCAATCAAGAGCCACTGCCCAGAATAGTGTTGGTGCTCTGCACAAGCCCAGGGGGCACCCTTAACTTAAAAACTATTTGAATGGCACCCATGGAGTAGCATGATGCTTCTGCCTGGATCCAATGCTGGCTGAGGTGAAGGCCTGCAGATACTACCATCAGAAATTAATATCAAAAGATGTTGGTTCCTGGACCTCCCTGGTGGCACAAGGGGTTAAATAGCAATACTATGAAGCAATCCGCAGCCACTACAGCATGAGTTCAATCCCAAGCTGGGGAGGTGACCCACATGGTGCAGCAGACCTCTCCTGTCTCGTCCGCTGCTCCCTTCAGCAGTGTATTTCAGTCAATCCTCCTGCTCTATTACCCACTCTGAGCCTTTCAGATATCCTCAGTGTTCTGTCTGTTTGAGACCTGGTCCCCTGCATCTGAGTGTCCTGGGGGCCGCAGCCTGAGAGCTGGGGCTGTTGTGCTGCACACATTGCTGTGCCCATGTGACTGATACAGCACCACCTCTGTATCCAAGCCAGGAGAGCTTCACTGGTTCGCAATCTTTTGCAGTTGTTGTCACACATCGTTTCTGGGAGAATTAAGTGCTCCCCCATGTGATTCCACTGGGACACTAGGAAGCTTGGCGCGGATTTCTCTGCCCTGAGCACCTTTCTCTGCACCTTTTGCCTGGGAGATCTTGACTATATTCCCTGGCTGTTAGAAACCATGAGCTTCTGAGTCTTGTGAGTCCTGCCAGTGAATTGCTGAGTTGAGGGTGGGCTTGGGGTCTCTGGCCACAGCCAGCCAAACTGACTCTGAAGATCCTTTTTTAGGTGGTATATAGCATAAAATGGCTGCCTTGAGGCGTGATTCATTAAAACCCATTCTCATTCATTGTATTACATTAAAATATTGAGAAAGGAACATTTATTAAGCAAAGCATATGTTTTACCTGTGCTTAAGGAACTTGTTTTCACCTGCCTAGAAGTTTTTCTTTATTACATATCCTGTTGAGTCATTAACGAGAAATAGTGGACTTGCCCATGTAGTCAAGCAAACTGCTTCATATCGGAATGTGGTGTCCTGTCCTGCTGTGTTTCTGACACTTTGACAATGGCAAAAATGCAGCTGCTAATTGTGAATTTTTCTTATGGGATAAGATGAAAGAACATTGGGGTGCAATCCATATAATTATAAGAACAGAATTTACATTGAATTTTGTAAAAAACCTGAGATGTTTAGGAGAAAATAAAAACAAACAGTAAATAGGAACTAAGTTTCTATATCGTGGACAAGACAGGCTTCAGTCATCCCCATCTTACTTGCTCATCATTAAAACTAGTTTCTTCACAAAATTGTTCTGTGATGAGAGCAATGAAATTAGCACCACTATTATAGATTATTATGTAAAATCATATACCACTGTAATATTATATAGTAACACACCACATTTAAATTTTGCTTCTCCACCGGTGGCGATGACAAAGACTAGAGAGGAAAGAATATATTCAAGTAGGTAAACAACAAAATTTCCATTTACCCAGAGGGCAACCCAGCTAAATTTGGAATAACTTCCTTCTCTCCTGTGGTAGGCAGGAAAGTGACCCCTCAAAGATGTCTACATTCTAATCTCTGGAGCATGTGGCTGTTAACTTACATGGGAAAGGTGAATTAAGGTTGCTAATCAGCTGACTTGGAGAGGAAGGTTATCTGGCAGGGTCCAATGTTATCACAAGTGGAAGCGGGTGGCCAAAGGCAGTACTGGAGTGATGTGGAGTGAAAAAGACTCAACTGGCCATAGTTGGCGTGGAATATGGAATATGGCTGCCAAGAAATGCAGGCAGCCTCTAAAAGCTGGAAAAGGCAAGAAAATTACCCTCCAGAACCTCCATAAAAGAACACAGTTCTGCTTACACCTTGATTTTAGCCCAAGGAGATCTATTTGGGACCTCTGACCTCCAGAACTGTATGCCACAATAAATTTGGTTTGTTTTAAGCCCCTAAATTGTGGTGATTTGCTATGGCAGCCAGAGGAAACTTATCTACAATCTGAAGGAAGTTGGACTGCAACCTCCCCGTTGGTTGTGTGAGTGTGACATACCTGAAGTTTCTGGCAGTGCTGCTCCCCCAAATGGTAAGCAAATGCAACAGCAGTCAGCAAGGGGGATGCTGTGTACTCTGGGGTCCCTAAGCAATAGCTCACTATCTATGAAAGCCTACCTGGTGAATGGGTTGTACAAGACATTCCCTTCTCTTGGCAACATATTCTGAAGATCATTGAGGCATCTGCTTCTCCTTCACCCAGCTTCAGGAAAACCTGTTCTATCGCCAGAGCCTAAGGGCTAGAATGTACCTAAACCAACTGGCATAGTCCTCTGGGCTGTTGTGATGAAGTAGAGGACTGGCACAAAAGCAAGTTTGGTCATTAAAGCTCAGGAGCTATTTGCTGGGGACTTCTGGAATGGCCCTACTGGAGCATAAGCAGGGCCACCCCTAAGACGGAGCAGATGCTGCAGAAGGCATGAAGGAGAGGTGGGAAAATCTCATTTGGGTGACATTGCAGAGCCCCTAAGAAAAGCTTACCTCTGGACTTTTCAAATATGTAAACTAATAATTTATTTGACTCTCTAAAGCACATCCGAGCTTATTTTTCTGTTTCTTGCAACTGAGCGGTTCTTCACTAATAGGAGGGTTGGACTATGGGGGAAGGGCTGAGGAAGTGTGGTGGTGGGTGTGGTGTGGTGTGGTCACAGACATCTGAATAGGTGTGATCTTAAACCTCTGAATCACATCCAGTGTTGTAAACCCATGTTTCCTCAAAAAAAAAAAAAAAATTGTACACGTATAAAAAAGAATGAATCCTAGGGTCAAGGAACGGCCCATCTAATTTTGAATGGTAATAATGATCCACAAGCGATTCACAATACAAGCTGTAAAGACATCGGGGAACTATGTAAAATGAGGATATTCTCATATGTGTATGTCTCATTAATGCACTATTATGCAAACTAAAGATGGCCTATATTTAAAAAATATTCATAAAGGTATACATTTCCTTGCAGTAAGTCTCTATATGTTGGGTGTCTCATGGTGCTGAACATTTTGTGAGCAGAGGACTTAGTCCCTTTGTTCTGGTTATCTTTTCCCAAAGATTTAATTAGAGCTGCCAGTCTTGGAAGACAGAGTGTTGTCCTCTAGGCAAAAAACAGGCAGGCTTACTCAGATTTTGTTTCTCTAACTCAGGACCTCTCTCCTGTAATGCAACCCTCATGTGTGCAGATGTTACCCAGCCCTCTTAATGTTAAGCAAATGCAACAGCAGCCAGCAAGGGGGATGCTGTGTACTCTGGGGTCCCTAAGCAATGGGAATTGGGGATCAGGGAGCCAGTGTCACAAAATGCTGATGTGCTGGCACTGCCATTGGTCTGAATAGTAAAGTCCTTTTTCTCTGACCCAGGAGTCTTGTGACTTCTGTGAGCATGCGCGAACTGTGGCAAACTAGTTTGTGACTTAGAACACGGTTAACTTGTTTGCAGGGGCTAAGTCTTCTCAGCACACTGGAGTCTTGTTCCACTTTATGGGGAAAACTTTGCTGCTTCATGAATCATTTGGCAATAGCTCAGTTAGCTTCAGCTGGGTCTGCTCTGTAGAGACTTCAATGATAAAAGGGCAGAATGGAGGTGGTAAAAGAAGCAGGATCAGCAAGAGGGAGTGTACAAACACCCCACTGTCCTGGCTTCCCAGAGAGAGGGGCTTGGGACTGAGCAGTCCTGGGGGCCTGAGATCTAGGTACTCCTCACAAGTGAAAAGACAGGGAGGGAGGGAGGAAAGCAGAGCAGAGAGAGAGAGAGAAAGAGAATGAAATGCATCTTGGGGAACTAACTGGAAATTACTAGCACTAGAAAATTTAAACAACCTAAGAATGGAAGAAAGGTAAAGAAAGAAAGGAGTTTTCAGGAGCTCAGCCTCAACTCATGTTGAGTTGGATGCGATAGATGGATGAATAGAGAGACATATGGGAAGTGGCGATACTAAGATGGTGGAAGTCATAGCTATAATGTGGAATTCTGTTCATCTTACCTATAGTGGAGATTTTTACAAGTGGCGGACACTTTATATACATGTTCATGTGTTAGATCTCACTGTCTCAATTTATTTATTTATTTTTTCCCCCCATAGAGGCATGTTTATTTATTTATTTGTTTGTTTGTTTGTTTGTTTTGTTTATACATGCACTGGGGACAGTCAGAAGCGCGGGAGGGTGAGAGAATTCACCAGAGCCAGAGCGGGGAGCAGAGCAGGCAGAAGGACCGAAGTACACTGCTGAGGTGGCAGCGGGCGGCAGGAGAGGTCTGCGCGCCATGTGGGACCCTCCTCTGGTGGCCGGGGAGCAGCCGGGGATCGAACTGGTGCTGCAGAGGCTGCGGGCAGCTTCGCAACCCAGCGCTCAACCGCTGCGCCACCTGGGAGGCCCTCACTGTCTCAATTTAAGTGACTTGCAACAAACAGGAGGAGCCTGTGTCTTTAAGTCTTGCTATGCATGCTTGGTATACAGTGAAAGCTCAATAAATATCATTTGAGGGGAAAAAAATCTTACTTTTTCTCTTTTTAAGGAAAAAGAATCCAGATTTTATTTATTTATTTACTTATATTCTTCTCCCCTACCCTTATCCTTTATGCCCCTTGGACCTTTTCTCCCTCCCCACTACCTCTTAACCTCACTTTTTTTTTTTTTTTATTAGTATTCACTAGTTTTTATAAGTATTTCACT